TTTATATTATCAAAAGTTGAATCGTCGTTAGGGCGGTTTCCCTTAAAAACCATCATCCAATATTGAGTCCCTACAGCTTATATTTTAAGTAATTTAAACTTTCTAGAGGTAAAAGGTTTGCGAAATGTTGCCACTGTTGAAAAATCGTGAGTAATGATTTGACCAATGAAGTTTACTTTGAAATTAAACAAATAGAAATTAGTTCAGAAATATCATCCATTGTGAGCGTACGATAATACAAACCTTCACTCATAAGTAACGTGACATTCAGTGCTATTTTATCCCCATTGTAGTTTCAATTAAGCGCTGTCTATTTCTTTGAAGTGGGTTGTGCGATAGACTTACCTCCACGTGATGCACCCTGGGAAACGTATATCATACGGCAAAAAAGTATATTAACTGGCAGTTGACTTCTCACTTCAAACTGCCATCACCTCACTCTATGCCATATTCAACTATTTCCACAGTTCTCATCTCACCTTTTTTCTGCCTTTGTGTTTGTCTCTTACATCTTTGAAACACTCTTCTATTCCCCCCTCTCGACTTTTTTCAATTTGATGTCCCTTCCCCTCTGTGAAGCCTGAAGTCAACTAAAGGGCTAATGATAACCATCAAGACGCCTGCCATTTTATATGAATAAATAAATTTCTTTGAAGCTGTTATGGAACAACTAGACGACGATGAAAATTCGACGTCTAACCGAGTCTCAACATTTTACTCCTTTACTCAATTCATACAAATGCAATGCTAATATTCCCCAATTTACCGAAATAAGACTGATAGTTGAAACCATATTTTCACAGGACAAAGGAATATAAAGCGAAATTAAACATTTAAATAAATGCAAGTGTCAATTACCTTTCTATAAGTTAAAAAAATTAGTCAGGAAAGCGCCACTTATCTCTCGGGAGGATCTGGAAACCGGTAATCATAGATAAGAGAGCTTACATATTTTGCATTAATTAAGTAAAAGAATAGTAATTTACAACACCAAAGGAATTATTTATAACATTAAAATAATTTTAATTAAGAATCAAACAGTTTCGATTAGATTTTAAGAATTTTGAAATATGGCAATTGTCAATATTACGAAAAGCGTTTGGATATAAGGGGTAAACTAATGAATATCAAAATAGAAAGGATCAATCACAGAATGGAATTATAATTCACCTCAGGTGAATTCAGAATAATTCTATCTAGTAATCGAGTGGTGTTTCGAGTAATAAATTTATCAAATTGCATGGATAATGATTCAACCTACTTTATCAGTTGTAGAAATCGCGGGAACAGATCCGGTAACCGGACAATGAGGAAATCATCTATCTAAAGATTTTCGCAATGATGATTCAAGGAATAAAGCCGGTCTTAGTACACAACTTCTATCTGACCAACCTCCCCCTTTCTCGCTAATGGGAAAATTCAAGCCTTGGTCTAACAAGAGTCGTGTTTATAAACTACCAGATTTGGAATGGATATAGAGGCATGATAAAACAGAACTTAAAATTATACATGTCAACAAAAGATATTCTGCTCTATTTCATTCCACCTACTGCACCTGCTGCTAACAGGAAATTGACAAAAGCGAAATTGAGATGGTAAAAGTCAAGAAATGGTAGGTTAAATTCCTATTTTAATTAAGCTAATAAAAGCTAATTGAGCTAATACAAGATATCGTTCGATAAATCATGATAACTCTTACAAAGACATAATGAAAATGCCATTGCTCATTACATCGTTGAGCGATTAAGGCAGAAAAAGGGGAAGTCTAAAAGTACATAATGACGCATTTTCCATTTTACTTGCAAGTGATTCATTGCTTCACTATAAATAATATTACTAACTTCTTTGACGCACTAGCCCTTTATACATGCTCAAGAAATGCCCCTTCACTACGAAAAACGCATTCAGTCTTAAGTCATTGTGAGATCTGAATTTTTCTCGCTGTGAATAAAGACACTGCGCGGGTTGTGGGGGCTGGGGTTCAAGTGACGTAGTGAGAACACATTTTGTCCTCGTTTATCTCTGGCATTCATTTCAATAAAGCGCAAAGCCGACACAGTTATACGGCACATATTTAAGCCGATTGGATACTCACTTTGATCATCTTGAGGTAAATTTGTGCCATCAGGTCTATCCACAAGGAAAGGCGCTACATAGCTGAATCCTCGGAACAACTCGTGAGCAGAAGCACTGGGAGGAGCCGCTGGAGAATCTAAAAGTTAAATAGTTGAACAAGGAAAAATTGAATGAGCAAATGAATAGCATTGTTAATTAAAAGGGAAATTATCTCTTGGAAAATGCTTTGGAGTGAATTGCTTGTTAGAATTGACAAGTGATCAAATCTGAAGACCACAATAGTTAGATTTTTAAATGTCACATATATATCGATGCTAGTAAGTCTTATTTTAGTAGGAGATTGATTACTCTTCCATTGAAAGCACAATATCTGAGATCAGCGAATGACAGCTATGTCCATTTCAGGTAGGTAAAGCGTCCCTGTGAATCAAATTCTTTGACTTCCATAAACTGCAGCACTTGAACAGTTTCGCAATCAGTAAAAAGATCGAATAATTTCCAAGTCACTACTGAAAGACGACGTTTTGTTTAAATTTCAATGCTATTTCAAACGAGGTTCACCCTAGATGTCAGTAAGTGAAAAAGTAAGCGAATTTTCTAGACCTAGTTTTATGCTATTCTCAGGAAGTAGGAGAAAAGATAGAGAGAGAGGGAGGAGGGTGGAGAACAAGGAGAAGCTGGTGCAAGTGATACCATCTCAAGAATATTTTTTTCCCCCAAGAGAATGCCTCCTAACTTGAAAAACAAAAATGAGTTAAGTATTAAGGCATAAAATTCATTACTCGCGTAAGAGAGCAAGATAAAATCTATGAGAAGGAGAAGTAAGTGGGACAAAATGTGATATAAATTGTCAATTAAATAAGGAGGAGGTGAAGGTGGCATAAAATTACCATCACCAGTTTCAGAAATGCATAAATCATCGTCATATTCAACTCCGTACTCTAATACCAGACTCAGAAAAGTAGAAATTTCCAGTTGCCTTTATTCCCGGAGTCCGTCAAACTACTAACAAAACATTTAGCTTATGCCCTTAATGAAAACAAAAGTACGCATTTTGAGGACCGATATGCAAGTGAACTAGCTCGCCTATCCAACAAGCTATTATTTCGAATGAAGAAAGGATATAAAAATCGTACTCCTTTCTCGTCCCTTAGTAAATGACTCTGACATGGCATGGGGAATAGTTGCCAGTTTCGCGATTACACTCGATTTTTCATAGTGTCATTGTGGGAATTAAAAAATACAAACGTAGCCACTTCTTTGGTTCCACAGCTAGGCTGCGTAACTAACTACCTGTAATACTAGTGTCTTAACGTCGCCGTGGTAATAATTGAAAGGAGTCATTGTTTGAATGTGTTTTTTTACCTTTCGGTGTTTTGCTAGTATATTCCTTGTCAAAGTTGAAGGCGAGGTTATCGAGCATGCAAACAGGTTTGAAAGGAGGAGTTACTTTGAGATTAACGAGATCAGTCCAGTTGATTTTTTTGAAAAACTCGTGAGATTCAATCTTTTGGAATCCGTCTGGTCCGTAACCTGTAATTAGAGACAGGGCGGAAATAAAAAAATGGTCCAAATCCATAGAGGATAGATATTAATCTAAATGCGGTTCCATTCAAAGCAGTTTGGACTTGGGCATTGTGAACGATATATGTGTGCTTTGGAGGAGAAAAGTGCACAAAATACTTCTTTCCGTCTCTCTGTGTGGTATATTGATTTATCTAGCCAGCACACACTGACGGGATTTCGGGACTGATTGTCGTTTAGACACGATAAACTAGGACATAAGTTTCAGTTAAGCTACCTTAGAAGGCAGAGATTCTTTAATTTAAATTTATTTCTGACTGATGGGCACAACTTCATGTCATTATTGGCGACAACTTCAACAGGAATGGCTGTTGGAAGCAGCTTCGGTGAGACCGGTAGAATTTTCAAGCGAATTTGTGAGCTGTGCTAGTAATATCAAGTTACATTTTTGATTCAATACTTACTGAAAGTACCTTCATACGTGTGGATAAGTTCATTGTCTGTTGAGAAACCAAAGTCTCTCAGTTGTTGAAACAGTAAAATCGGCGGAAGTTGTAAATGCTATTTGCTCGCTAATTGTTTCTACCTTATTGCGCCTCTACAACAACCTTAAATCACATGAAACATTTAGAGCACATACAAGACAAGCGAATGCTCAGTTAGCTAGACACGCAGATAGGAAAGAAGCTGAAAATTGGAGTGGATTTAGGAAATTATTTAAAATTAATAACTTCATTTGCCCTTAAATTGACTCAAAATTAGTAAACATTTAAATAGTTAAATTAAAACCAATGACGAAAGTACGCTAGGGAAAATTGGACACACCTTTATTTCATTTTGAAATTTACTATACTTATTTCTAATATAGAGAAACAAGTGTGCGACCTTACTCGCCTTGACATGTTTTCATTACTCAGTTTAGCCATCTTATTAAGCATTAAAATTTCTAACCTGTGGTGCGCGATAGACTTACCTCCACGTGGTGCACCCTGGGCAACGTATACTCATACGGCAAAAAAGTCTATTAACCGGCAGTTGACTTCTCTCTTCAAACTAACATCACCCCACTGTATGTCA